ATCAGTTACACAACCCAGGGCAACATGGGTTTAGAACAGGTCGCTCCTGTCTGTCTCAACTATTGGATCACTACGACAAGGTCCTAAATGCACTAGAAGACAAAAAGAATGCAGATGTAATATATACAGACTTTGCAAAAGCTTTCGACAAGTGTGACCATGGCGTAATAGCGCACAAAATGCGTGCTAAAGGAATAACAGGAAAAGTCGGTCGATGGATCTATAATTTCCTCAATAATAGAACACAGAGAGTAGTCGTCAACAGAGTAAAGTCCGAGGCAGCTACGGTGAAAAGCTCTGTTCCACAAGGCACAGTACTCGCTCCCATCTTGTTCCTCATCCTCATATCCGACATAGACAAGGATGTCAGCCACAGCACCGTGTCTTCCTTTGCAGATGACACCCGAATCTGCATGACAGTGTCTTCCATTGCAGACACTGCAAGGCTCCAGGCGGACATCAACCAAATCTTTCAGTGGGCTGCAGAAAACAATATGAAGTTCAACGATGAGAAATTTCAATTACTCAGATATGGTAAACACGAGGAAATTAAATCTTCATCAGATTACAAAACAAATTCTGGCCACACAATAGAGCGAAACACCAACGTCAAAGACCTGGGAGTGATCATGTCGGAGGATCTCACCTTCAAGGACCATAACATTGTATCAATAGCATCTGCTAGAAAAATGACAGGATTGATAATGAGAACCTTCAAAACTAGGGAGGCCAAGCCCATGATGACACTCTTCAGGTCACTTGTTCTATCTAGGCTGGAATATTGCTGCACACTAACAGCACCTTTCAAGGCAGGTGAAATTGCTGACCTAGAAAATGTACAGAGAACCTTCACGGCACGCATAATGGAGATAAAACACCTCAATTACTGGGAGCGCTTGAGGTTCCTAAAAATGTATTCCCTGGAACGCAGGCGGGAGAGATACATGATTATATACACCTGGAAAATCCTAGAGGGACTAGTACCGAACTTGCACACGAAAATCACTCACTACAAAAGCAAAAGACTTGGCAGACGATGCAACATCCCCCCAATGAAAAGCAGGGGTGTCACTAGCACGTTAAGAGACCATACAATAAGTGTCAGGGGCCCGAGACTGTTCAACTGCCTCCCAGCATACATAAGGAGGATTACCAACAGACCCCTGGCAGTCTTCAAGCTGGCACTGGACAAGCACCTAAAGTCGGTTCCTGACCAGCCGGGCTGTGGCTCGTACGTTGGTTTGCGTGCAGCCAGCAGCAACAGCCTGGTTGATCAGCTCTGATCCACCAGGAGGCCTGGTCACAGACCGGGCCGCGGGGGCGTTGACCCCCAGAACTCTCTCCAGGTAAACTTACAGGATAGTGTATGAAACATCAATATACACAAGGAGCCAGAGTATAAGTTGGTACAGATCCTCCCTGACCTGCGTCTGATTTCTGTTCTGACTGCTCAGATCTCAAAATATACGGATGTTAGAATTACATTACCATATGTAGAAGTCATTTACCTGTACAGCATTCTTTTAACCTAATAATTTTCTTTTTGTCACCCTGCTTTATTACCTTAAGTTTCATTACTCGCAAACTGATGTCCCTTACTTGTAGGCATCATTCATAGGCTTCACATTATTATTATAATCAAGGGGGAAGCGCTAAACCCGGAGGATTATACAGCGCCTGGGGGGGGTATGTGGAAGGCATTCAGGCTTAATTCGGGGAACTGGAGCACAGATCCAATTCCCTAAATCAAGAGCCCCTCACCATCAAGGAACCTTCCTTGAGGGGCATAGGCTTCACAAATAAATTTGATGTATAGAATGTAGCCTAGGATAGGCATATCAGTTATCTTGCTACTCATTATTTCAAATTGTCTTTTACCTTCTTAGTCTTTTTTATGATTTTAATACGGTACAGTATATATTTATCATTCATTTTCTATTTCATCATTTAAAAAATACCATTCTTTAGTTTGTATATTCTATCATTTTAAAGTACTTTGTGGCAATAAAAAGCATAATGGTTACATTGCATTTGGTTTATTGTGGTAATGCATACAGTTCATAGTAAAATAAAATTCATTGAAATCTTATGCAATATAAAAAAAATAAGTGAAATAGTACAAGAAAAAATAAAGACATTTAATAAAAATTTTCATCTTGTTTCTTTTGGTAGTGGGTTTAGCACTTAGTTTTTTATAATAATAATAATTCCTTCACTACACTTGTACTTATTGGTGTCGGTGGATCGTCATTTTTTTTTTTTCTAATTTAGTGTATTTTCAGTTGTATATGCGGATGGACATAAGTCGGGGAGGATCTGTATTACTGCATTGCATTCACGTGGAAGCCTAAATTGGTAGAGATCATACAGTGCCTCGAGAAATGGAAGGTATACAGACTTGATTGAAGGAATTAGGGCTCAGTGTAAGTTGGTAAATATTAATAAGAGAGCCAGATATGGAAATCAGATGAGTTTAGTTTTCTGCAGGCAAATGTATTTTCAGTACAAGAAATTTTTGAGAACATCTGACATTCTCTCCACATTTCCTTGTATCATATAAGTACTCCTTTGTAAAATGGACATAAAATGACAAAATAAGAAACCAAAAATTGAGGCCAATTATTGTATCCACAGAAAGCCCTGCTGCAGCTTGTCAAAGGGATGCTGACATTAGAGGGAAGAACAAGACGTGCAAGCAAAACAGAAAGGAGAATGTAAAGTGTATTATTATAATCAAAAAGAAGCGCTAAGCCACAAGGGCTATACAGCATAAAGTGTAAGAAATCAGTTTCATTAGTTGTAGAAGAAATCTGTATTAAAGTTGGAATTTTCAGAGAATAAGGAAAGGAAGTCAGGAGCAGGCAGTGTAAACTTGAGAATGGGACAATCTAAAGCTATGCTACTGTTAACCTATCAAAGCTATGCTACTGTTAACCTATCAGTTCTGTGGCACTGGCACTTTGTGACAAACACACGTGTTGAATACGAAGGCAGTTATTGAGGATTATTTAATTTTCACTGGGGTCCTTTAATCGTTCCCCAGGATGTGACCCACACTATTCGACTAACACCCAGGTATTTAGGTGCAAAGGGAGGAGCAGGTGTAAGTAAACATGCCCAATGTTTCCACATGGCTGGAGACTGAACTCCCCCTTGATTATAATAATAATTAGTGGAGATTGAACCACAGAAGCCTGGTTTGAGGCGAGTGAGTTGCCTACCAAACCATTGGGTACGGCAGCAGTTGCTTAATCACTGATACCCAGAAACCATCGAGAGATAACAGGAAGAAGTAATAAGGTATAACTAAAAATAAAACACCATTGCATATTTAAAAATTTTCATTCATAACTAAAGTTACACAGAATTTTATTACCTATGATACATATGATACAGGTACAATAATTTAATGAATATAGAATCCTTCACAAATTAGTTATGAAAATATGGCACAGCCTTGTACATTAATGTATATTTACAATGCCTTTCTAAAGCAAAAATGAAGTAAAAATATACATATTCCCATTGATAGTAAACACACACACATGAAGCTACATAGTTATGTTTTCTCATATTTCATATAGGTCAACAAAAATTAATTAGAAAAAGTTTTAAGGAAATTTCCTTAATTATTCCAGCCCATTAAAAAAGTTTATTTTTTTTTTTACAGCAGTGTTTTAGCATTCATTGAGCAGTAACTATTTAATGTTACCTAATAAAGTCACTTCATTCAATGAAAAAAGGGGGAGGAGGAGGAGGGAGAGAGCAAAAAATGCTATTTCATAGTACAGTAATTAAAAAAAGTCTGCCTAATTGCATTAATGTCACTAAAGAGAAGCTGAACCTGTGGGGGTCATCAAGCACTGAAACCTTAGTCAATTTTAAAAAGTCAACTCTTTTAAAGAAATTAAAATACTTTACAGTAATACAAAGTTGAACTTTATGCCATCACATGTGACTGTGTCTAAAATAAGTTATTCAACTGTACACAGTATGCATGTTATAAATCTTCAATACATAATGCATTAAGTATACAGTACATATTACTCAATACAGTATATGCTAATGCAAACCCAACTGCATATATCACATGACCAATGGTATATACATGTACAAAACAAATTGTGAAAAAATACAGGAAATCCTGAGCACTTTCATGTACTTACACATCTTTAGAGAAAGATTGTGGACAAGGACATGAATTATTATTATTATAATTAAAAAGAAATAATCAAAAAGAAGCGCTAAGCCACAAGGGCTATAACAAGGACATGAAGGTGGTCAGATTTTCCTGTATTTTTTCATTATGGTACTTTTTTCTATTTAGTCATGCATTTTATTGTCATTTCTTCCACAAATATAAATGTACTGTATATATATCGTACTGTATACAGTTTATTAATCTTGTTTTTGACACCCCATACATGCACTGTTCCTAATAAATATTTTAAATCATCTGTGCAACAATTAAGATAAGTTTTTATTTGAAAAAAAAAAATTACTACTAATAATTAAAATTTGGTATATTTGCTCATATTCATAAACTTCTGAATTTCATGAACAATTTTCAACTGAAGATTCCAAACTAGGAAGATTGGAATTTTCACTATTGGAAAATTCTGGACGAGTGATACGAGTACAGTACAGTAAAACTATATACACACACATGCACATAGTGATTACCCACATTAGTTCCCATCACAAAGGTACAATAACCTCAGCAAATTATTTTATCTAAATCTATAGCAAAGATATGAGCCAGGACTAAAGAGCATGACAGGCTCAAAGTGATTAGTAATGTAGAAATTTGTTATATCCAAAGAGTATTACTGTGGGAAGATATTACAAACAGGAATCACGTAATCTCTTACAACATGCCTGAAACCTGCAGATTTGTTTGCTTGCGAGAAAGCAGTCATATCACTTCTTAGCTCTGAAGATCTAGGCATTAAGCTTCGATGAAATAATCTAAGCTGTGGTTACTGAATTTGGGTGATGGGAATAAATGAATAATGGCTGCAAGTTTTTTTTTTTTTTTATGGGACTTCAGCCCCAGCAGGTCTGAAGAAAAAATTATTTCTACTTATGGCCCTTAAATCTTATTTTCATGAAAGTGATGAAACTAAAGTCTATGAAATAATTGTACAGGCACTATCACTAGACTGTTCCTTCTGTCTCATGATTACTCAGATATTTGGGAAATATTTATAACTCATTCCTGAATGTTAGAAATTAACAGAACTTGTTACTAATCTACACAAGATTAAAAGATAAAAAGAAAAAGCAGGCAATTTTAAAAGCTGGGTTATTTGAAAGTACAAGATAAAAGTAGGTAAAAAAACATACATACAGTGGACCCCCGGTATTCGATGGCATCGGTATTCAATAAATCCGGTATTTGATGCATTTTAATGCAAAATTTTTGCCTCGGTATCCGATTGAAAACCCGGTATTCGATACGATTCGTAAGAGACGTGTCCAAGTGTGGCCTGAACTGCCCCTCGTGTGCCAGTGTTTACAAGCCAGCCAGTGTGCGCGCATCTAAGGATACATTCGGTACATTCCATATTATCACTGTTTTTGGTGCTTGTTTCTGCAAAATAAGTCACCATGGGCCCCAAGAAAGCTTCTAGTGCCAACCCTGTGGTAAAAAGGGTGAGAATTAGTATGGAAATTAAGAAAGATTTTGAAGGGTTTGGGGCTAACCCTGAGAAGCCTATGCCAGTTGTAGAATCCATTGTGCCTACTTCAAAAATTAAGGAAATGTGTGCACAGAGGGTTGAAGTGCAAACCTTTATGGATGAAAATCACCCTAACACAGCTATTGCAAGCCGTGCTGGTGACTATTACAATGACAATGTTGTGGCCCATTTTAGACAAATCGTAAAGGAGAGGGAGCAGAGGTCCAGTGACTCTCAAGCTGGTCCTAGTGGCATTAAAAGAAGGGAAGTAACCCCGGAAAAGGACTTGCTACCTCAAGTCCTAATGGAAGGGGATTCCCCTTCTAAACAATAAGTTCGACACTCTCCCCTCCTCCCATCCCATCAATCATCACCAGATCTTCAATAAAGGTAAGTGTCATGTAACTGTGCATGTCTTCTTCAATTTGTGTGTATTAGAATTAATATTTCATGTGGTAAAAATTTGTTTTTTTTCATACTTTTGGGTGTCTTGCACGGATTAATTTGATTTCCATTATTTCTTATGGGGAAAATTGATTAGCTTTTCGATATTTTCGGTATTCGATGAGCTCTCAGGAACGGATTAATATCGAATACCGGGGGGGTCCACTGTATTACTCATGTTATAAACAAAAGAAAATGATTTCCAATCACTGAAATAAATTTTAAAATGTTTGAAGAGTTTGAAAGGAATTAAAATAATTAATAATGGTTGTATCAGAACAAGAGCAAAAGAGGGTGCAAGCAATTCTACTGAATGGGTATCTAATAGCATTAGGGTGTATACAAAAGAAAAAAAAATATGATTTCTTTCTAGAATTATTGATAATGGAAATGGGATACAAAAGGTATTTATGCACCTGTATGTGATAGCAGTGTTGAGGAGAGTCTTGTAGATTAATTGTGTAGAAAGATTTGTGAAAAGTAGAGAATACAATAATAGTTTGGAGGACTGATGCAAAGTTGAGACTGTCGTAGTAGTAAAGTTTACAGTGACCGACATCAACAAGAGACTGGAGTTGTGCTTAGAAAGAGTGGTGGTAAAAAACATCACATGTTTCAGCTTCACCACTGTATGACATGGGTTTAGTGCTTATAAAATAATTACATGTTTCAGTGAAAAAAAAGTAAATACAAAATTAAAACAGTTAAATGCTAAAACCAAAAGTGTCATACAGGTAAGATAAGTTCCCAAAGAAAAAAAGCTGCTGAACTACATGCTAGAAAATATAATTATTATTATTATTATAATAAAAAAAGAAGCGCTAAGCCACAAGGAATACAGCGCTGCAGGGCAGGAAGGAAGCGAGGGCATCAGGTGGCAAAAGGGAGATGGATGAGTAATAGGTTATGGATAACAGCGGGGTAGTGGATGGTGAAAGGGTAAAGGGCAGCAAGAGACTGAACTAGAAAGGGCTGAGGGGAGTGCGAAAAGTATCATCAGAGTTTGTGGAGTAAATCAGTCGTTGTCAAGAAGTAGAAAATATAAAGGACAGCCTTTTGGATATAAAGTACATGTTTTTATAATAGTGAAAAGTGAATTTGATCCTTAGTGTACCAGTTCTTAATAGTAACTTGGAATTAAGAGTACAAGCAAGATAGTATACAAATGTATCAGTAGAAAAAGGAGAGGGTTAATTGTTTGCTATGTTTGAAGCCTGTCAATTGCTTATGAGTAATTAAGGCTGCATATCAATTAAACACTAACACAAAGAAAATTTTAATCCCTAAATTAGGGATGAAAGTAAACACAATTGTATACATACAGCTGAACTTCTTTATGTGCATTATATGTCATTAAACAAGAGAGGTGAAAGTGAATGAATCCAAGACAAAAGTTGCGAGTGATATGAGTATTATTAAAATAATCAAGGTAGATGCTAAGCTGAAAAGGGTCATACAGCAAGTAGTATAAGCAAATGTTTGAAGAAAAGATGACTGTTGTGTGAAGGTGTGGTTATGGAAGGGTATGTACACAAGAGGATCACTGGTAGTAGAATAATTTAAACATGGTGATACACTAAAAAAAAAAGGGCAGCATACCCAGGGTTTTCTCAAAAGTACAAGCTATGAGAGATTAAAAGAATATATGAGGAAAAGTCATCCGAGCTTGACAAGAACATTTTGGGAAGAGATAAAGTGGAAAAAAAGAGAAGAAAGCAGACTGAAATGCAGTACTGTATCTCTTAAAAAAGTTGGCAAGATTATGAGTAAAAATGGAGAGAGATTTCAGATGGAGACAATACTTTGAACTGTGTGTAATTTAAATGAAATATGAGCCAGAAATTCTGGCTTGGGAAGAGAGAATGAGTGAAAAAAGGCAGAAATAAGAATACAAGGGGTGAAGCAGGCAGATAACTTTTGAAAATGAGGAAAGCAGTGGGGGTGGACACAACTGACTAAAATGCTGGGAGCAACAGGGATTAGTGTTGTAAAAGTACACACGTTATGCTTTATATGCAGAGTTTGCATTGAGTTAAACAACAAAAGTTTTGCCAGAAAAAGTATAAATTCACTGTTGTAATAATTGTATAAATATAAGTTGGAGCATCACAAAATTAATACATATAACTGTTGCTAAATAATAGAAAACTAATAAACTTAGTCTGACTCAAAACAGGTTTGGTAGGATTAAGATAAAAAAAGTAACATTTTAGTGAAGTTGCTAACTTAGTGGTATTACCAAACATACATGCACAATTTATCCATAAATGCATTGTATTGTATATACAGGTTTCCCCTAGCTTTATTCAGAAAAAAATCATTATGTGATTGCAAAGGATAATCGCTGTGCGTTTTCACTCGCATGCGATTACTCAGTACAGCATTACTTGATAATTAATCAATACCGCATTAAATATCACTCTAGACTAATGTAGTGTGTTGAAGGCAGTGGTGAGGGATGCTGTATCATGTCACATGCCTCTCCCACTAAACATGTCCAGGACATAAGTCCTGTATGTGATGGGGAAAGGGAAAGGCAATGAGTGAGTGAAGCAGTGAGTGATACAACCACTAGTCCAGGCCAAGCCACTCTGCTGGGGTCTCATCCAGTCCATCCCCTTATCCTTCCTTTCAGCTGAGCCTACAGCTTCCTCCATGGCTCGCAGGCTACTTACCCACCACCATGCCTCACTAACAACCCTCCACTTCTTCCCTGGTGAGCCAACAGCTCATATTCTAATATAATGTAAATAAATCTACAGTTCTTGACTGATCTTAGAAAAAAAAACAATAATGAGAGGTCTTCACATATGCATGAAATGAACATTAACAAAGTATGAATGCATTTTGTAAAAAAAAAAATAATAATTATGAAAACATATGGGCTGAAGAGGGGTTGTTGAGGTGGTTTGGTCATTTAGAGAGAATGGATCAAAGTAGAATGACATGGAGAGTATATAAATCTGTAGGGGAAGGAAGGCAGGGTAGGGGTCATCCTTGAAAAGGTTGGAAGGAAGGGGTAAGGGAGGTTTTGTGGGCGAGGGGCTTGGACTTCCAGCAGGCATGCATGAGCATGTTCGATAGGAGTGAATGGAGACGAATGGTATTTGGGACCTGATGATCTTTTGGAGTGTGAGCAGGGTAATATTTAGTGAAGGGATTCAGGGAAACCGGTTATTTTTATATAGCCGGACTTGAATCCTGGAAATGGGAAGTACAATGCCTGCACTCTAAAGGAGGGGTTCAGGATATTAGCAGTTTGGAGGGATATGTTGTGTATCTTTATACGTACATGTATATGCTTCTAAACTGTTGTGTTCTGAGCACCTGGCAAAAACAGTGATTATGTGTGAGTTGAAAGTGTTGAATGATTAAAGTATTTTCTTTTTGGGGATTTTTTCTTTTTGGGTCACCCTGCCTCGGTGGGAGACGGCCGACTTGTTTAAAAAAAAAAAAAGTGGAACTGGCAAAAGTCTGAGAATGAATCTATATCTATCTTATGTTACAGTGGGTTTGCATCTATTGCATAAAGCGAGGGACACCTGTACTGTATAAACACACATATACAACATAGTACATGTAGAGGAAAGGTGGATAAACCTTATCAACGAGTATTTCATAATCTAACATCTAAAAAAAAAAAAAAAATACGAACAGCTGAATACATAATAGCCATGTTACTTAGTATACTGTATTGCACTTGAATCAGTGAGTATTTCTGCAATCTTGTGAATATGAAATTCACTGCTGGAGTTTATCATGACAATTACAGTACAGTATTATGTAATTTTCTGCAAAATATGATTACATATCTAATGAAAAGTAAAAAGAATGGTTGCATACCTGATAAAAAAAATACATATATAGCTTGTTACTGTTAATTTCATATCAAGACTAAAAACTTACATGAAAGATATCAACAGTATAATTTTATTGTAAGGTAACAGCAAATATCAAATATATATATATGAAAACCTTTACGTGCAAGTAACTGATTAACTTGTCAAGAAGTTCGTGGAAACAAAAATTCTTGTAGATATACACTATGTTTTATTATTATTTATCAACATCCTCATTTAAATAATTATTATACAGTAATCTACTAACGAGCAAACTCGCCAACATTTCATTAATTTTATTTCTGTAAACCTACATAGCTTCTTTATGTGCTTTTCTTTTTCTGTGAGCACCATAGTAATGATTAGTCTCTTTTAAGACTAACCAAGACTTAATTATATATATATATTAATTTTTTGAGATTTTATGTATAATTATCAGGAAAAAAAACAACTAATTTTAAATTACCTTTATCCCACATACACATTATTATTATAATCAAAAAGAAGCACTAAACCTACAAGGGTCATACAGTGCAGCAGGGCAGTGGATAGTGCAGGGGTAGAGGGTAGCAAGAGATTGAGCATGCACACATTAATATCCAACACATATTTTGTATGTATTTGAAAGTTGGTTATATTACATAACAAGGAAAGCCATTCTTGAGCATGTTTATTGATTCTTGTGGGTTTAGTGCTTAGTTATGATTTTAATAAAGTGTGTTTAGATCTCGTAAATAGTCACTGCACAACACTTGTATATCGATCTAAAATTCTAGTGCTCTTGTATGTATACCTTTCATTTCACCTTATTTCAAACAGTTTTACTGACCCATAATTAAATATTTCAGATAAAAATCTACATATTTAAATTATATATATATATATGTGTACCATAAATTATTTTACTGCTTTCAGATTTCTCTGTCATTATTGCTGTTTACTTTTCTCAATGTTGCAAAAAAAAAAAAAAAAAAAAAAAAAAAAAATAATCAAGAATGAAAATATAATATATATCAGTGCTTGAGGAATAAAACACATTCTGCACATCAGGATATCAATTAAAAATTTGTTTCAGATTTATTTCACAATCTTGTTAAATATTACTCGATATTTAATGAATAGAAAATGTGTGCTTTTGCATCACCTCCCAGTCTTGTAGGTATTAATTGGGTGGTGAAACATTTCAGGGCCTAAAATCTACATTACTGTACTTATCTAAAGCAAATTTATGAATTTCAGTAACATTTTGCAATTATATAATACAAAGTACTGTATACTGTACATAATTTAGTACTGTACTATAACCCTGACAAAGATAATTGTGAATATAAAATTACAACAGAGTATTGTATATGAATAAATTACACAAGCCATAAATTCTATGTAAACATTTGCAATATTATATATTACTAATATATCTACCTGCAGGCTTCAGGTGGTAATAGCTTGGTTGATCAGGTGATCAGATCAGCAGGTCAGCCTGGTTACAAGGCAGACTGTGGGGTAGACTAACTTAAGCCCTTCACAGGAGGCCTGATCAGATACTGAGCTGCAGGGTAGATAATTCTCAGAAGTACATTGCACTTAATATATTCAAAGAGGAAGTGCCAAACCCACAAGGGGTCTTATAATGCCTGGAGAAATGGAAAGCAATCAGGCTCAATCCAAGGAAAGGGAGGATAAGGCCATTGCCTTGAATCAAAAGCCCCCTCATTAAGAAAGCACCTCCCTCGAGGAGGGGAGTACTCAAAATATACTATCGAGCATTTTCATGCACAATTGAGAGAAATTATTACTCGTCTTGTACCTTGAAAAATGTAAGTAGTACTAAAGTAAAAACAATTGAATGTATATAATAAATCCATAAAAGTTACTTACTTCTATCATTAAGTACATCTTCACATTTACAATAATGACTAGCCCAATCAATCTTACATAATTAAGTACATGAAGCATTATAAGTACTTCAAGCTAAATATTAAATAAATATTTTGAAATATTTTATTTCATATCAAGTAAGGGAACCCTAATAAAAATAAAAATATCAGTAAAAACTATCCATTAAACTTATAAATAGATTTCACAGGCATATACTGTACATTATAAAATATCCTTAAAAAGGGGAATGTCCTTGCAGGTACACTTGAAAAAAGAACAAAATAGTTCCCAATAACTGGAGCTATCTTAATATATAAGGAGCCTCTGCAGTTCCCGTGTCCACAACAGACTGACTAGTGATGGAACTTAATATCTGAAGGAACTGTTCAAAACAAGACAGTGGCAAAAAATAAAACCTTTGTTGCACTCTAAATGACTAGTTTGATTTCAACTGAATGTTTCCTTTAACTTAAATCACTGTGCATTTCAACTATGAAAGACATTAGAGACACTATTGGGTTATGTACAAAATTATTTCAATAGTTTCTAATAAGTTAAAAGAACATCTGACAATCATAATAAAATGAGCATCTGACAAATTTACCAACTAGTCTTGAGGCTCCTGCTTGATAACTATATTACTTACACTATTGGTAGTTGATGAATCATCATCAACGGGTTCTTGTTTGATTATTACAGCACCTGGCAGCTGTACTCCTGGTTCTTGTTTAATGGTAATCTTTGGTGCAATGTTGTTAGTGGATGCAACCTCCCCTGGTTCTTTCTTGGTCACTACTTTGTTTTCTGAAGCAATGGTTCCATTATTAATTTGTGTGCTTACAGCTGATGCCGGAAGCAAGAGAGTTTGAAGTGTCCCCGTGTTAGACCCAGCAGTGGAAGCCGAGGGCACTAGTACCATACACTGAGAATTTCCCCCAGATACTAACAATAAAGGCTGAGACAGCATCACAGAGTTCTGTTGGCTGCCAGGTTTAGAAAGAAATACAATTTGTTGGTTACCGCCTACTTGAGCTTGAGGCATGAATACAGAGGGCTGACGTATAACTATACGCTGCCCAGCTGGAACCGAGGTCGACGCAGTGGCTGCCACTTGCTTGCCACCTCGTAATGATTGTGGTACCACAAACCGCGTTCCCTCCCCTTTTTGACCACTCTGTGTAGACAACACCATTATTTGTTTTCCACGAATATTAGTGTCCAATACCTGGCCACTAACACTACAAGGCGTTCTAGTATTCTGGTGTTTGACTGTAGCATTTGAAACGTTTGATTGTGTGCCATTCTTATTGTCACTGTTACCATCAACATTTGATTTACTAGGTACTGAATGCCCCTGTGGGTTTTTAACAGTCAAACCTTTACATATCAGCAATTTTTCTTGAAGTTCAATAAATTCTTTATAACTGAGAACTTTAGTTTTCTCACCTTCCTTAGACTGTGTCTTGCTTTCTTGCTTATTTTCAACTTTTTTAACATCTTTCTTAACTGAAAAGTTAGAAGTATTATTCTTACCAAAAACTGAAGTTTTTTGATGAGCACTGGATCCAACACATTTACTTTGAGTAGCTACTGAAGCCACAGGCTTATAAATTGTTCTTGGTTGAGGTGCTTTTGTTCCTAGAATCCCTGAATGACTATTTTTTACAACAGTTTTCTCTGGAGCATTTGGGTCAATTGTCCTTAAATCAGCATGATGAAGGTCAATATGCCCTGTAATACTTGCCTGTGTGGCACAATAGACACCACAAATGGAACATTTGAAAGACTTTATTCCCTGGTGACTTCTCATGTGTCGCTTTACCTCATCATTACGAGGGAAGCCCTTACCGCAAATTTTACATCTATATGGCCTTTCTCCAGTGTGTAGCCTAATATGTATTTTATGTTTATGCCAGTGCCGGAAACATTTTCCACAATACTCACATTTGTAAGGTTTCTCACCTGTATGGTTCCTACGATGGACCAGCAAGCTTTTAGAATGGGTGAAACGTCTTCCACATACTTCACATTCGTATGGAGTCTCCTTTGTATGCGATCTCATGTGACTCGTCAGACCAGATTTATCGTAACATTTTTTCCCACACACCCCACACATGTACGGTCGATCTCCAGTATGAATCCTCATATGAATTGTATAGCTTGTCTTGTGGGAGTAAGAGTTTGGACACAGATGGCACTTATAAGGTCTTTCTCCAGTATGAACTCGCATGTGCAGAGTAACATAATGCTTCTGGGTAAACCTCTTCTTGCACACCTTACACTGAAATGGCCTAGGTATTTTGTGTGAATTTGTAGTGTGGGTGAGAAAATCTTCCTTTCTATAAAATCTTTTCCCACATATACCACATTCATTACGAATAGATACTGCATCGGTCACATTTTCCACTTTAGTAGTGGGGTCCATTCTCTCAAGCTCTTCTACTTCCTCTTCAATACTTAGGTTATCATCTTCAAGAGCATCTTCTAACATAGGCTCAGCCTCATCTACAACTTCCTCCTTTTCATTATCTCTTAGATCAAGGGGATCCTCATCTTCAACATCCAAAGACTCGCTAGGCTCCTCTTTGATGGCTGTCATACAAACATCTCCATTTTGATTCCTGGAGCTTGATGCCTGGTTTAGCATATGCTGAGTTTCACTTTCTAGCTCTTTTTCTTCCTCATCCTCACCCTGTTCCAATTTAATTTTAAAAGGAACTTTGACATCTATATCTAAACATGGATGGGAATCATAATCTTTTTCAAAACCGAATGAAGATCCACATAGTGTGCACTCTATTATGAATTCTCCCATTGTGAAACATATAACTATGCACAATTGCCAAAAATATTAGCAAAGCAATTCTAATAGGCATGAAAAATTAGAAAGCAACAATAATTGCTACAACTTGTACATTTTATAACTGTTCGACTAGAAAGGACTAGCAATGTACAAATATGGCACAATATATAACTACATTTGTATGTTAGTAACCACTACACCATTCACTAACAGGAATCGGTTAATTTTCTATTATTTACAGCACAGATTAGAAGTTTACATGGTTACTTAATCAGGGTTAACTGCAGGTGTAAGTAAAGCTTGTTCATTGGCATATTGATTTGCTCCATCAGCATTAGAATTTAGTCTTGCATTCTTTCACCATGCATCTGCAATAAAAATAACATCTTTAGGTTTTATAACACAGTATGTATCAAGAATGAGTAGTTAAGAGAATGAGAGAAGAAAGAGGGAGATAGAAATAAATTTTAATTTTGGATGCATGTTTTAATTTAATGATGATGCACTGTATAATATGGTATGTTAAAAATGTTATAGTTTTTCTTCATGTATTTGGCTACTTACATTATACATATAGATACACACTCCTTTAAGCAAGGTAACAATTCCTATTATGTAGTTCTGGACTGAGCAACATCTGCATTTTCATATATATTATATGATCAACAATTTCCCTAAAAAAAGATATAGACCGATTAAATTTTACCATAATATTACATATATTTATTTACATAAAGGAACAAGTGCCCATTTGTACAACACTGGGAGGGACATGCCAAGCTTTTGCTCATTATACGAATCTTACTTGTACTTTATTTAGTTACTGATATTAGTCATTGCTGTGTGCATTATTATACAAAAATGTTCTCATCTCATAAAGCACTGCCATAATACCACGTTACTAACCAGCTTCCTTACTAGGGAGCTCCTCCATCTAATAACTAAGCGAGTCTAGGCAGACCATTTTCTCGGTTGTTCTTTGTAGGTCATATTTTAAAAACTTTACAATTAATTATGTTGCATTTCTATGAACTTTTCCTCCATTTTCAGGTGTGAACACTAAACTACGGTAGATATTGTTATTTGTGTTAACATTGTAAATAATTTTGTTAGCATTTTCCACCCACATAATATATTTTAACTAGTAAATTAGCAGAATTTACTAGTTAGATCTAAGTGAAACTATATCAAATGTGGTCCTTAAATGATAGTATTCAATCATCCAATCCATTTTATCTCCAGGTATATTTCTCACTTTTACCCACTGCCATTACATGGTTTTGTAAGATTAAATACTTTAAGATATAATCTGCAAAATTAAGTTTACAATGCATCAATTGCTCTTGTCAGTGATACTAGGTTTATAGTTTAATTGAAAGTGCTTCCAGCTTAAATTCTTCCCACCATCCGGTTGCCAAAACATTGCCTTTAGCAATCCTAGCCCTAGCAGCATACTGCCAAAGAGTTAGCATCCATGCAACTATGACAAGGGGAGGGGTTAAAGATACTCTTCAGACGTGAGTGAGCTAGTTTCCCCTTTCAACAATCCTGCTCAAAATTGTGGAAATTTTCAACCAATGGTTAAGGGGCCTATGAACTTTTATATAATTGGTCATTTTCTATTTATCAGCCAATTTAACCAAACTGCATAATAAGTGGGTAGTCAAGATAGTAATCTTATTTTTCAATGTACCCCTTAATGGTTTTATCAGTTGAGATGTAAGACATGAATGTTAGCATATTAGGATGACATGTGGCATTAATAGATAATAACAATGTTGGTTGAGTAACCAGGTTATACAAGAGGAAGTTTAAACTGAATAAAAATAGGGGCAAGAAAACTAATAAGTAAATGTAAAAGGAATGAAAGACTGGGAGTTGAATAAAAGAATATTAAGGAAATGGATGTACACCTAAACACTTGGGAGTGGATGTGTCGATTGTTTGGTATATAAAGGATGAGGAAAGTCTCAAATTGAAAAGAAAAAGCTGCATTAGTGTTGAAGAATCTGAAATGGAAGAAGTTTGTCAATCCATGCAAAAGGGAATTATATGAACAAAATGTACAGTGTAGTTGCACCAATACCTGTATGAATGGAAAAAATGGGCTTAGAATGCTGCAGTAGTTGCAAACAGTGAAACTATCTTGCCTAAGATTAGTGTATGGTGTGATTATTATAGAGAGAATAAGGAATGAAGTAGTAAGAAAACAGTTTAAAGGGCAAAAGTAGTAGTTAAAATGCATCTTGTATAGAGCAAATGAAGTAAGATACAAACTGATTTAGAGGTACTGTACATCAATTTGGAGTGGATGGAAGATGTGCATAAAGATTAAAAGAAGGTTGTGGAAGAACCATGTATGAGGAGAGGCATAAACATTGAGCTGGGATATGTTAGCATGTTACAGTGGACTGAGAATGGTAATTTCTACAAAGGCTTTCACGGGATCCAATTAGCTGGGGTTACAGAAGTGCAAAGTACTGTGCCTGCACCTTAACCCTAGTGGGGATGCTGCAGCTCAATGAGTTAGCACTGGATTATGCATGATATCTGGGTCCTTCTAGAAATGCACCCAAGGAATGTGACTGAATGAATTTATTTTTTTGTGTCACCTTGCCTTTGTTGGAAATTTAAATTAACAGCCTTGAACAAAGCTACTGTATTGTAATGCTACAATTTACTAAAGTCAAAAATGGAATAGGCTATACAAGAATTGCTACCAGCTATCTAATATGATATTTTATGAAGTGAATTTAATGATCTGTATCATATGAATGAAAGCAAATTCTATTGTTAACTAGAATAACTGCAATAAACTGAAAGCATAATGGAGATAAAATCCATTCCACAAGCTAGTGTCCCTTGCTTTGTGATTAATAAAACCCAAATTACTTTACTCATTAGATGAAGTCTACAGAAATAGGTTGTTTAGGGAGCATTTGCATTTGTTAGTTCTCATGTAGTAATTGAATTGCATGCAAGATTAAAACTAACAAATTTTAAAATGCAGATTACATTACAGAAACATGTGCTATATAAACATTTTAAATACCAGTAATAACTATAAAAAAAATTTGAATGTTAATTTTCAAGTGGTAGAAATCAGTTACATTATTTTGGATGTTATATAATGTGAAATTATTTCTTAAATATATTGTATAAACTGTGCTATCAGCATGCACTCTATTCAACATACAGTAGCTGTTAGACATAACTGCATATACAGAGCTTTAATCTTTCTTATTTGGAATAATGCATGCAAAGGGATACCCAAATTATAGAAAATTCTGACCAAGAGAAACTCGACATCATTCATAAAAAAAGAAAAAATTAATTTTGCACTTTTTTATAATAATAGTAATAATAATAATATTAAATTAATATTTTCTAAATTTAAAGCTTATTAAATGAAGTTGGGAAAACTGAATACTGCAATAGTTCTAAATAACAAACACAGTATGCAGCATTAATGTACATTATACAGAAATGAGAGTACAATATGAAATTATTACATACAGTAGTACTATAGAGTATATGCAGTGATTCAAATGACATTAAATAATATTGCTAATATAGGCACTGTTAACTGTATATAAACAAGAAAAAAATATTAAGTTACAATAACTGCAAAAGGCAAGGTTGCCCACCAAGGTAGGGCAACCTGAAAAAGAAGCACTTTACTGTCATTCAATCACTGTTTTGCCAAAAGCTTGCTGACATCACAGCTTAGATGACCATCTAAACTGCAGGCCCAGTGGCCTGGTGGGGTGGCCCAGTGGCCTGGTGGGGTGGCCCAGTGGCCTGGTGGGGTGGCCCAGTGGCCTGGAGTTTACCTGGTGGCTAAAGCTCCCGCTTCACACACGGAGGGCCCGGGTTCGATTCCCGGCAGGTGGAAACATTTCGACACGTTTCCTTACACCTGTTGTCCTGTTCACCTAGCAGCAAATAGGTACCTGGGTGTTAGTCGACTGGCGTGGGTCACATCCTGGTGGACAAGATTAAGGACCCCAATGGAAATAAGTTAGACAGTCCTCGATGACGCACTTACTTTCTTGGGTTATCCTGGGTAGCTAACCCTCCGGGGTTAAAAATCCGAACGAAATCTTATCTTAACAGCCTCACCCCTCCTTCAGAGTGCAGGCACTGTACTTCCTACTTCTAGGACTTAAGTCTGGCTAACAGGTCACCCTAAATTCCTTCCTAAATGCTACCTTGCTCATACTCGACATTTCAAACCATGAAAACCACGTACCTCCATTACTAACATGTTCACAAAAAAGCCTGTTGGATGTCCAAGCCCCTAGCTTTCAAAACTTCCTTTACACCCTCCCTCCAATCTTCCCTGGGATAACCTCCTAGCCCTCCTTCCTTCTGCCCCAATTTATACACCCCCTAGTCATCCAATTTTGCTCCATCCTCTTTAAATGTTTCAACTATTTCAACAATCCCTCCTCAGCCCTCTGAATAATAGTTTTGATAACCCAGCACTTCTAATCTCCAAGCTCCATATCATGTGTAATATTCATACTACACAATGCCCTCAAACATGACATTTCTACAGCTTCCAGCCTCCTCCTTGCTGCAGCATTTAAAACCCAGGTTTCACACCCACATAACATTCATTAAAACACCCATGCCGTTTAAAATTAAAACTCGTCTAAATACCTACATTAAGTGCAATGTAATGATAATATATAATGCAATATGCTGTAGTACTATAGTAACACTTATATAATTTTTTTCCAATAAGAAATACACAGTACAGAATAATATACTAAAAAATAAAACACGTACTTTGTGGAATGTTATTGGTGACACTTTCAATATTTTTCAGCAATATATTATTAACTGCTAAAATACTGATTTATTATATACATCACAAAATTAAGTGTACTGTATATAGCTACTGCAGAATAAATACAAGACAGAGGATAAAGTAATAGGCAACTTAAAGGGAATATGCCTATACTGTCATCCTTGAATAAAGCAACATTTAAATCAAAATAACTGTATGACCCTTGTAGTTTAGTGCTCACTTCTGATTGTAATTATTAAACCAAAATTAACACTCAATAAATCCTTCAATATACATTTAGATTATATATAATAACTAAATACATATTGTAAATATATATTTAGAATACACACTTAGAATACATATGTGCATACATTTGAAAATACACGAGAATAGACAAAAATTAGAACATATATAAACTGTGTCTGCTAGAATATACATTTGAATAAATAACTAGATAATACACTAGTGCTTTAAATAAAAAATGTTTTAGAGCTATTTCAAAATTTGATATACAGTATTAATGTGGCTATTAAGGAAGCACAGTATACAGTACAAACAAATGATTTCCCCTTATCTATAAGCACAAGATAATTATTTTGGGTCATAAGGTAAAGAATGACTGGCTAACCTATCCACATTGATAAAGTAACAAACCAATTAAAAAATATTATGTATTAAAATTTCTAAAGGCCTCATTAATCCACAGAAAAAGGTTCAACAATGAATAATGCATAAGTTTATTCAGGTACAGGTACACATAGTTACATAAATTATCATATATAGTAGCATGTGTGTAATTACCTAGGATAGCCCAAAAAAAGTCAGTGACTTGTTTCCTTTGGGGCCCTTGACCTATTTCCATTGTATGTTATAATTATTAATAAAAAGAAATATAAAATGAGGGATAAATTTTTAAACTAAGATAAATATTGGTTTTTACGTAAATTATATAAAATGGGTTGTGTAATACTCATTTGTTTTCGAGATACTGCTTTTTTTTATTAAAAAAATCAATCTTACCCAACATTACATAGCTTAACCTAAGATTTTGAGTTAGATTCTTGATTAGGTTAAGTTTTTTTGTTACAAAAAAAAAAAAATCCCAGTAGGTCCAAAATATAACCATCTCCAATGAACAACTCTCTTAATGTTAGAGAATTCGTATAACTAAAATCCAAGTAGCCAGAAACCACTATTTTAAGAACTTGCCCACAAAAAAAATTTATGGAAAAGCCCACTTAATACCTGTAAACGACAAATTATCACCGAAAATTAATACATGCCAGTTAGGTTTCCTCTACTTTTATTAACATTCTTAAAACTGCAATACAAAAACTGTATCTGGCAGGCTTTCTGGCCATAATGACTGATCAAATTCATACAGCAATTCAAATGAATCAAGTCACTGATTTAACCGGGTTATCCTAGGTAATTTATACATGCTACTATGACAATTTTAAAAATCTAAACTTGTCTAGTATACATGAGTAACTTACACTTCACATTTTCAAACCTGAAAATCTTAATTTTTACCTTTGATAGGTGTCGAGTTCTCACTCCCAGAGCTGCGTCTTGGGCCAAGCCTGAGTTAAAAAGCAATTTGTTTTACAATTTTAAGTTAATCAGCTAGTTAGTGAAAAATATGAGTATTTTGGTAATAAAATGAGTGATTACTTGCAGAGGTATACCGATCGATTCTTTCATTTCTGTATACGAGGCTAAGATATTAATGTCGTTATATTAAATACTATATTAATTCATGTGTTTCAGGTTGCGGACCTCATCACACATTAGACCAACTAATGTGATGCATACAGGTTGGCGACCACTGAGTTGGAGGATTTAAATTATCAATCACAAACTCTGCAACATTAGAATTTAAATTTTGGGTGAGAAGGCGATGCCTAATCGAGACTTAAATCCTATCTTCTCGAGTCTTAAAATTCCATTTACAAAAGTTTTTATAAGTGAATACAAGTTAAAAATTACATGGATTTAGGAGAATTTATTTTGGAATGGATACATATACAACTAAAAAACCCGGTATGTGGTGGGTTACACCTCAGTTATGAGTGGAGACCCGTGTTCTTTCTCCTACATGGACCCTGACTTCCATTACATAATTCAACACCAAACTATTATTTAACTGATACACAAACTCAACTGTGATGCAAAATCTACTTAGACATATAACATCTACAAATTAACAACTGACAGGAGTTAGTGGCACACTGGCAAGCATTTGCTTGTACAAAGACAGTACCTGAGGGAGAGGAAACGGAGGCAGTGTGTTCCTGAGATCAATACACACTTACTATGTCAGACGATGCACCACAACCCCAGCCCAGTTTCTACACTTCCCTCTCTCGTTCCTTCGCCAGAGTCACTCTCTTCATAGACGATCACCTTAGGATTGTACAGGTGAGTCAGTTACCCACCTGGAAGTTGTCAGTAGGGGAGTATGTTATGAATAGTTGCAGCAGGCAACCGAGCGGCCCCCGTCAGCCCCTGTCAGCTGGTGCCCGCTGTCTAGAACTAAACACACACCCTCTGCGCACGCTCGTTTCCCCTCTAATATTTATTCTCCTACCTAACCACATGCTTTAAGCTTATTAACATCATCTCCTTAACACGTGCCTAATGAGAACAAATATTTTATGGTATTATAGTTTCGTATGAATGAGTTTAGGGACTTTAGTTACTGTTATGACGGGAGTGTTACCATGGCAACTTAATCGATCGATAAGAGGTTCATAGAACACCTGCGTGTTCCCAACCCCCTACACTAGATCTGGGTGCCCACTTGCTACATCACCTTAGGTCTAACACCTATTCGGATAGTTAATCTCTTAGTTTTAAGACCTGTCCTGAGAGTTGCTTTCAGGTCGAGGGCCTATCTCTAGTTGATGTAAGTCTAAGGACTATCCGGATACTCTTAGGTCTAAAGCATCTCCGGATACTCTTAGATCTAAGACCTGTCCCTATAGCAGCTATCTTAGGTCTAAGACCTATATGGATAGCTACTTTTGGGGATCTAAGGACTATCAGATACCCTTAGGTCTAAAGTCTGTCCGGGTAGAAGGTATCTTGATACCTGCAGCAGGCCAGTAGGCCTGCTGCAGTGTTCCTCCATTCTTATATTCACTCAAGTCTAGTCAGTTACTTTGTTAGATCTAAGGTGTATCCAGATGATAAATTAGACGCATGTGCAACACTTGGGTATCTTTAATGAGGAAACGTTTCACCACACAGTGGCTTCATCAGTCCATACAAAGAAGAATGATGAACAGGAGGAGTTTGAGGTAATCAGTCCCTCAGCCTTGAGTCGATGTAATCAGTCTCAAGGGTGAGGGACTGTTTACCTCAAACTACTCCTGTTCTTCACCATTCTCCTTTGTATGGACTGATGAAGCCGCTGTGTGGCGAAACGTTTCCTCATTAAAGATACTCAAGTGATGCACATGTGTCTTAATTTATCAACTTGTCGGTTCTTTGAATCAATCATCTACAGTGTATCCAGATACTGTGTTAAGTCTAATGCTCATTGGTTTCACGTGGATCATTAAGGTAGCACTGCATGTGTACACAAACACCAAGACTGCTTCATTTTCAAAGACGGGTGTTAAATTGTGTATACACTTCCATTTGTGATAAGTGTCTCAATCTTCAATTTCCATTTGTATATACCCTATCCTCAGGTTGCCAACTTTGGGCTGCAGTCAAAAAATTAGATTCACATAACTCCTATATCAACTTAAATTTAAGGCTTTTCGACCGCTTGTGCTTTAAGACACGAAAATAGTTGTACTCTTAACTTGTTAAATTACACAATAAAACTTGGGATTGCAGTAAACGCTTTAGATTCTCATACATAATTGTCAATAATGGTAGAATTTCCAACAAACTGTTACCTGGTAAATGGACACAGATGTAACTAATGTCACATTTTATTGTGGAAAGTTGCCACAATAAAATGTCACATTAGTTGAATCTGTGTCCATTTACTTAGGTATGAGGACAGAAGTGCACTTGTGGCCTCTTACCTAACACCAATTTACCTAATCTACATAATTCTCGGTGTTTGTAATGTTACAGTACCCGGATTAATTAATGTTTTAGGTTTAAGGCCTATCAAATACATGTGGGTTATTATAGCCGAATGCCATTTTTACAATAACATCGAGGAAAAATATATTCCTTGGAAAAGGGATTACTGTAAACTTTTAGTGCATATATACTGAGATATACACTATACAGAAGTAACCCGCACACAAGAGAATGGAACTTATGACGACGTTTCGGTCCGACTTACACCATTAAGTAGTGACAGAAGCGCGAAGGGAAAGGAGTCGGTATATATCCGAGAGTGAATATGATAATAGTATACAATACCGACGAGTTGATAAGTAAAACAAGTGTGCGACAGTTAGATATCTCTATTCCAAAACGTTTCGCTTGTGGCGTAGAACTGTACTCCAGGCTAAGGGACTGACCCCCTCAAAACTACGTCTTTGAGGGTGCTAGACTTATTGCATTGTCTTGACATTTCAACTCCCCTCAAGGGAGGTTCCTTGACGCTGGCGAGGGGCTCTTGACCTAGGGAATTGGATCTGTGCTCCAGTTCCCTAAATTAAGCCTGAATACCTTCCACATCTCCCCCCCACAGACGCTGTATAATCCTATGGGTTTAGTGCTCCCCCATGATTATAATAATTTACATTTCAACTGTTTCTGCTGCCTCCTCTGTAATCAACTAAAGAAGCATATTGTGTAGGTGAAACGTTAGGGAATAGAGAGGGGGGGAAAGTAGTATAACATGAGTTTACACAATACACAAATAACCCGCACATAAAAGAGAGAAGCTTACGACGACGTTTCGGTCCGACTTGGACCATTGACAAAGTCAATGAGTTTACCCCCGTGGGGTTTCGTCCCACCCTTCGTGGGCCATCAGCGCCTCTACAGTGCTCCTTTTTGGTTTTTCTCTTCTTAGACTACCTCCATTACTACTACTACTTTGCTTACATTCCACTCTTGTGTCACTACTACTACTATTACTACTACTACTACTTCTGCTACTACTACTACTACTACTACTGCTACTACTACTACTACTACTACTACTACTACTACTACTACTACTACTACTGCTGTTGTCTTATTACAACCTCTGCCACTTTTGCATTACTTATTACTACACTACTACCTCCTCCCGTTCTATTCCCGACCTTGCCCCCTTCCCCTTCTATTTATTCTGGCTCCCATTCCTCGGGTGTATGACTCCTGCCGATTTAACACTTCCCCATGAATATACAATGATAATTCAGGCGTTCTTTAATTCATATGTCCATATAGTATCTCAATGTATGTACACTGACATATACGAATGTATACTGAGATATACTTCTCAGTGTATACATTCGTCTTTGTGTATATAGAGAAATGCATACTTCTAAGTGTATATACATACATCGTATATACACTGAGACGTGTCTCAGTGAATATTCACAGTATGTGCATGTCTCAGTGTATATACACCCTGAGATGTATTTATTTATGCACCGATAAGTGTTTTTCACTGTTTATACATTAAGAGGTGTGTACATGCACGCTCTACTCTGGAAAAACTTTCCCTCACTCCTTCAGTTGCTGCCTTACAACATTGCATAACTCCTGATGACGTACTGAGAAATGTGAAAGTACTTGAGCTAAAGATTTCCCCCCCCAGTGGCTTGTCTTGCATTGTTAAGAGGGCCTGTCTGCAATTGTTTGTGTATACCTGGAGAGAGTTTTGGGGTCAACGCCCCCGTGGCCCGGTCTGTGACCAAGCCTCATGGTGGATCAGGGCCTGATCAAAAAGGCTGCTAATGTTGGCCGCACGCAACCCGAGGTACAAACCACAGCCCGGCTGGTCAGGTACTGACTTTAGGTGCCTGTCCAGTGCCTTCTGGAAGACAGCCAGGGGTCTATTGGTAATCCCCCTTATGTATTACCTGGAGTTTACTTGGAGAGAGTTCCGGGGGTCAACGCCCCCGCGGCCCGGTCTGTGACCAGGCCTCCTGGTGGATCAGAGCCTGATCAACCAGGCTGTTGCTGCTGGCTGCACGCAAACCAACGTACGAGCCACAGCCCGGCTGGTCAGGAACCGACTTTAGGTGCTTGTCCAGTGCCAGCTTGAAGACTGCCAGGGGTCTGTTGGTAATCCCCCTTATGTATGCTGGGAGGCAGTTGAACAGTCTCGGGCCCCTGACACTTATTGTATGGTCTCTTAACGTGCTAATGACACCCCTGCTTTTCATTGGGGGGATGTTGCATCGTCTGCCAAGTCTTTTGCTTTCGTAGTGAGTGATTTTCGTGTGCAGGTTCAGTACTAGTCCCTCTAGGATTTTCCAGGTGTATATAATCATGTATCTCTCCCGCCTGCGTTCCAGGGAATACAGTTTTAGGAACCTCAAGCGCTCCCAGTAATTGAGGTGTTTTATCTCTGTTATGCGCGCCGTGAAGGTTCTCTGTACATTTTCTAGGTCAGCAATTTCACCTGCCTTGAAAGGTGCTGTTAGTGTGCAGCAATATTCCAGCCTAGATAGAACAAGTGACCTGAAGAGTGTCATCATGGGCTTGGCCTCCCTAGTTTTGAAGGTTCTCATTATCAATCCTGTCATTTTTCTAGCAGATGCTATTGATACAATGTTATGGTCCTTGAAGGTGAGATCCTCCGACATGATCACTCCCAGGTCTTTGACGTTGGTGTTTCGCTCTATTGTGTGGCCAGAATTTGTTTTGTAATCTGATGAAGATTTAATTTCCTCATGTTTACCATATCTGAGTAATTGAAATTTCTCATCATTGAACTTCATATTGTTTTCTGCAGCCCACTGAAAGATTTGGGTGATGTCCGCCTGGAGCCTTGCAGTGTCTGCAATGGAAGACACTGTCATGCAGATTCGGGTGTCATCTGCAAAGGAAGACACGGTGCTGTGGCTGACATCCTTGTCTATGTCGGATATGAGGATGAGGAACAAGATGGGAGCGAGTACTGTGCCTTGTGGAACAGAGCTTTTCACCGTAGCTGCCTCGGACTTTACTCTGTTGACGACTACTCTCTGTGTTCTATCAGTGAGGAAATTATAGATCCATCGACCGACTTTTCCTGTTATTCCTTTAGCACGCATTTTGTGCGCTATTACGCCATGGTCACACTTGTCGAAGGCTTTTGCAAAGTCTGTATATATTACATCTGCATTCTTTTTATCTTCTAGTGCATTTAGGACCTTGTCGTAGTGATCCAATAGTTGAGACAGACAGGAGCGACCTGTTCTAAACCCATGTTGCCCTGGGTTGTGTAACTGATGGGTTTCTAGATGGGTGGTGATCTTGCTTCTTAGGACCCTTTCAAAGATTTTTATGATATGGGATGTTAG